GGATTTTTTTTTTTTTTTTTTGAAGTATACAGATGTCAAAGTTAATAGCTAAAACCATTACCAGAAGATCTACTTTTAAAAAACTCTGCTATCTGCTCGTTTGATGGCCTAGATTAGGGTTAACAAAGAGCACTCCTAGGAGCCAGGAGGGCCATTGTGTTTCTCCCAGGAGGAGCTCAAGCTGTTTGAAGAAGTATCTACATGTTAAATGCATGTAAATAAGTTGCTTCCAGGGGGTGTTTTTTTTCCTCTTAGAAATTCCTTTTCATTCAAGTAAATACTAAGGAATGTTATCTCTGAAATTGGAAGCAGTTTAACAAGTAATCTTTAAATTTTAATCTCTCATTTTTCCCCCCAGAGGTGACTGTTTTAGTAAATGTTACCCGTTAGTTAATTCAAAACTTTTATTTCCAAAAGTTCAAATAATTGAAGTATATTCAAGAATCTGCAAATTAAAAACATTTCATCTGGATCCTGGGGTGGGGCAGCTTCCCTTTGCCTTTTGCTGTATGTTTTAGACTCTTGAGTAATTGGAGAGTTTAAGTCACTGTGAGTGACTTAATCATCTGCTATTTCTAAAGTGTGTATATATATATTTTATTACAGGAGCGAGTGGATGGATTTGAAAAAAGAGTATTTAGCGCTGCAAAAAGCCAGTATGGCTTCTTTAAAAAAAACAATATCCCAATTAAAATCGGAGTCAGAAATGGAAATAGACCATGGAGTAACTAACAAGTCTGGAATGAAAAATGAAAAAAGTAAGCAACAATATGATATTTTTGTAACATTATATTGTATTTATCTACTGAAATACTATTTGAGTTATTATAGGGTGAATAATTTTTAGAAACAATTATACAGTAGTCATTATAAAAGTTAATGATTTGGCGAGTTGTCCAGATGTGTGACTTACTCTTGATAGAAGAACATTTGAAGGACTCATTTAAACAGTATGTTTTCTAGTCGGTTATTTAAGTTTTCTCTAGTTCTCATTATTAGTTTGATTTAGTAATTACTGCCTAGTTTATGAATTAAGTTTGTATAAACAAAGATTGTAATTTCTCACTTGTAATTTCATTCCATAGTAGTAACCACAACCAGAAATAGTACTAACCAAGATTCTTATGAAATCTTTAATATTTGGATATATTTTAAGTTCTTATAATGAAAATAAACTTTCACATCTGAATTATTTTATACACTAGTCTATATTCAATGCCTGTTAATATCTCTACTTTATTAGGTACTTTTTTGTTATTTAGTTCAGGGAAAATGGGCATTTTGGGGGGAAGATTTTACAAGTGCTCTTCTAAAAGTAACAGCATGCATTCACAGCAATACCAGTTTTTGTGTTTTATTTCATGGTTATCTGCAATAAGCAGGGTGACTTTGTTTGGAAGGCCTATTCTGAGCCCCAGTGATTTACAACAAAATAACTTTCTTAATTACATAAATTATGTTACAATTAAGTTTTAAATGAAGTAAATTAATTATTTAAAGCAGCCTAAGAAATGATGATGTTATTCTAAAGAGGCCTCCTCAGTGTTAAATGATTAAATGTTATAGTTACTTCTGATCTTTTTCTGCTCCATTAACAGCAAACAGTGAGGAGTGCCGTCCCCAGGAGAAGGTTCAGGCGGCTGGGCCGCAGTTTGTGAGTGGCGTGATTGTGAAGATCGTTAGCTCTGAGCCTCTACCTGGCAGGAAACTAGTCAGGGTAAGGCCTTAGGTTCCCCAGGTTACTTGTCCCTCTTTCCTCTTCAAGACTCCCCTGTGCACACGTTTAGAATATGGAAACAGAGCCGATTGCATTAGAGCCTGTTCCCCTGTGTAAGGCGCTGGCGGGTCTGATTCCATGGGGACTGGGATTTAACCTGAAGCAGGCTCCAAAGACTCGCTCATGGCCGCACTTGCTGTGGCACTCAACACCCTTTCAGAGGAAGACTGCAGTTTCCTTGTGTTCTGATGGGTGCCTCCGAAGGCTGGAGGCTGTGCCGCGAGTGAGGAAACTGTGCTAGTCATTCTTAGCTGAAGGAGTGGATCAGCAGAGGGCTTTCCCAGTATTCATTTTTCAGGGGACTGTTTCCCCCCAGAGAAATGCACTTTAGAAAAATGGCGCCAAAAATTTTTGAAAAATCATTCAACATTTGACTTGGTCAGAAATTATTTTAAAATCATAATCACCTACTGTTGTCAGGTTTTGAAGCAAACTAGATAATTTGTGATTTGTCTTCATTAGCGCTCTTAGCTTTCAATAGACTCCTAAAAGTTTTTTGACCTTAAGTGTTTTGGAATAAAGAGGTAATATGTATATTTTTTTTCTTAGCATGGACTTAGTTTATTTTTGTTTGTTAATGAGTCCTTGGGAATTTACGTTTTTTTCCTGAAAGAAATGCAGGGTGTTTTGCAGAAAAGAGTCTTTTTTAACTTTATGGGGTTTTCTTTTTAATTAATTAATTTTTGGTATTTTCAATTCATGCTGATTGTTTTAAAATTTTGAAACAATTGCAGAAAAGTGTAAAGTGTTTTGAAAAGCTGCGAAGTTTGTGCGCACGTCCTGCCTGGCCCACGTCCTAACGTCCTAACGCTGCTGCACAACTCCTTTTCCACGTCAGAGACTTTCTCTAACCAGACTTTTGTGCTCCAGTACAGCAGGATTTCTTATTGATCGGCTCTTTTGTGAGGCATATTTTATTTTTACCCTTAGCCTGTCACCCAGTTAGGCGAGACACTGTCGTCCTAAACTGTGTAAAGTATTCTATAATGTAGCCAATGTGTTTAAACTTTTTATGCTGAGGGTCAGCATGTCGTTTTGGTTTTGTGTCCTCATGCCAGTCACATTTAAACTTGCATAACCATTGAGGTTGCTCACTAAGCACGTGTGAGCACTCTCCTGAAATTCTGCAGCTGCCACATAAGTTTAGATTCTCCTCCTGACAGTGATGAGGGCTCGGTCAGTCTCACCTTGACGTTCCCAGCTTGCAGAGTTTGTGGCAGAATAAAATTTCACACGAGCGATAAAATTGAGGACTGCATAAGATTTAATAGAAAAATTACTCCTAATTTGTTGTTTGGAATGACTGACCTAAATTTATATCAATTATAAATTCTTCACTTATGATCATCAAAATCATAAAAGAACTATTAATCAGGTTCATCTTTACTTACTGTTTGTTGGAACAAAACTGAGCTGTGAGGATGGCAACTGCTGTTCTGCCTTGTCCAAAATGATTGCCAGGCTCATTGTCATTCTAAGAAGGGTTTGCCGTCCCGAGATCGCCCTGACGTTATAATGGATATTTAGTAAATACCTTTTGCTCTGTAGTTTTCTAATCAGTCACATAAGTCAGTTACGTAGCTAAACTACCAAATTTTTTCCACTTTAAACTGATTTGTTCTTGCATAGTCTCTACATTGAATACATTAACTTACATAAAGGAAAGGGAAGAATCGACAAGTCTGTTTGTTCTCTTTTTTTTCTGTTGAATTAGCAAGCATTTATTAAGTGCCTCCTTTGTAATAGGCAGAGTGGCTAAGTGTAGGGATGAGTTAAGACTTACAGAAACTCTGGCTTGGACTGTATCCCGGTTTTTACATAGTTAAGCTTCATTATTAACTAGTAACTTTTCATTCTGTGATGAAGTAATATTTCCAGGTGTTCCTCAATTCTGTAATACAGATTTTAAAAATCCAACCCCTAAAAGTAACTTCTTTAGCTGTATGAATTGAGGTTGATAAATTAAGACTAGTGTGACATTCCTGCATAATTGCATTGTACTTACTGTAGAACCTGCTGTGAATGCCGGAATCTTGTTAATTTGCCCTCACAGCAGTCTTGCTAGGGAAAGCTTTTGCTTGATTTGGGTGACCACGACTTGTTTAGGAAAAGTTGCTTAGGTATTTTATCAAAAACTAAGAGGTTTTGAGCTATCTTTTCAAAGATCCACTCAGGAACTTAGAAGTTTTGTAGGTTCACTGAAACTTTTTTTTTTTGCATGAGTTGTTATAAAAAGTTGAATGTTTTTCACATACATTTTAAGTCATAAGTGTACAGGTGAGGGAAACGCCTTCCCCAATCCATTGTGGGTGTTTTATTTTGCTTTTAATTTCGTTCCTGATTCTAACTGCTCCCAGACGTGGTACCCCTCTTGCTGGTGCGGGTGGGAGGCAGGTCTGTGCACTCTGCTGTACAAGTCTGGTGTCCTTCCGCGGTGCTTCCCTTCCAGGGACACTTTAAGGATGTGGTTGAGTAAGAGAAAGTTATGATCAGGGTTGGTGTTCAATGGGTTCTCGGATGTGTCCGTGTCCATTTTTTAAGGGCATTTGTATATATTTTAGAAGAAATACTTTATGTATGATAGTTCTCATTTTAAGTGTCACATGACATAACATTCTGACATAACTACTGGAAAAATTTTAGCATTGTTATGAAACATTTTTATACATATGATGTCTTTCTAAACTCTGCTGTAGGACACTTTGGCAGCCGTCTCAGAAGTTGTTTATGTTGATTTGTTGGAAGGAGATACAGAATGCCATGCGCGGTTTAAGTCCCCTGAGGATGCTCAAGCAGCAATGAATGCATATGCAGAAATTAAAAAGAAACACTGCTGGACACTTGAGATTCTCGCTGGTAAAACTTCATGGAAGCTTCCTTTCAACATCGTATTGTGGGTGATTGTATTATGTTTTCTGAGTTTGGCTTAATGAAACTAGTGTTTTTATGTACTCTTAACATGCACATAGCAATAAATATAATCTGACAGCTATTGAATGTGCTCCTTCTGTGTGCCCTTGTGACAGTGCTCAGGGTTCTGTCTTTTTCAGGTGACCACGAACAGAGGTACTGGCAGAAGATTCTGGTAGACAGACAGGCCAAACTGAACCAGCCTCGTGAGAAGAAGAGAGGCACCGAGAAGGTAACCAATTTTGTTTTGTTTTGTTTTGTTTTGTTTTGATAGTCTTCATTTTTTGTGGGGGTGTTTTTGGTAGCCTAAAGTTTTTTTCGGAGGCTGACTGACTTCTGTAAGTAATTTGTAATCCTAAAGCAGCCTTGGCTTTGCCATACATAACAGGTTTACCTGGTGTGCACTGTCCTTTAATTGAGAGGGAATGCTTAATCACTTATGTTTTGAAATACAAGAAATTAGAATTATTTTCCCCACAAGGGTGCATGGTTTTAATTTAGGGTTTCTCTTTTCTCATTTTTTTAACTTGTGTAACTTATAGCAGTCTTGATTTCTGGCTGCTTTGTTTTCAAAAGGTGGGAAGTGATTATTTAAACATTGTCTTAAGGGTAAAAACACAATGCATTTAGAGTGTGGTTTTCAAGTACATGAGCCTCCAGAGATTAGATGTTCCCTGAACAGGATAAGCTTTATTAATTCTTCCCTAGGATAGTCAGGAAGCGATATAAACAAGTTTAAATACATTAAATAATTTAAAGCAAGCTTCTCTTTATTAATAATTTTTTTAAATGACTAATTTATTAAACCATTATTGTTTCTAGAGAGCTGTCAAGCTTGTTATTTTAAAACAAATTACTATGCATGTAAAGGTTAGTGCATCTTGAAGTACTTCGAACAAAATAGGGCACATTATAACTAAATTACTATTCTCAGAATTTTAAAATGTATATTGCAAAAGTCAGAAAAACTTATAAAGATGTATATTCTTTTATCATTGGTTAGCATTTAAAAAGCCGTACTTCCTGTATTTGATGGTTTGGATCCGTATTTATAAAATTATTTTTTTCTTAAGCTTAAAAATCAAGTGTTTTTCATCAGCCTAGCGTATCACCTGTGTTCATTGGAATTTAGATGATTTGGGGGGAGGTTTCCTACTGGTCTTTGTTAGTTCTGTTTCCCGGAATGCAGACGTTTGCTCAGAGGGGGGCCTCCTTCCTTCCTAAGGGACTCTTTCAGCTCTGTGAGGTGTTAATTTGAAAGCCTGCTTGAGATTATTTAAATGGTAAAATCATTAATCCAGAACTCAGCACTGAAATGAAATCACTTTGTTAAATAATGCTTATCTTTTAATTGGTGTGTGATTTTATTTAAATCTTATATTTGTAGAACTAGGAATTAGTAATTTTGTTTTTCTGAAAGATCCCATTTTCATAAATTTGAGGCAAGGAAATAAATATTGAGAGGGAGTTTTATGCATTGGCTTGGAGCCCAGCCAGTGGCTCTGTCATTGAGTTGCAGAGTTCTGAGACCTCACTCACCTGTTGTACCTTTAGGCTTCTCCTAGAGCATCTCAGTTCAAGTTAGGGAAGTAGTTGGCTCCTGTTGTGAAATGAAAAAAAGAAGCCACACAAAGTAGCTACTGTCCAAGCTTTTTAGGGAGACGGGTAGATCATGATTAGTTTGTCAATCGACTTTTTTGTTAGTTCATTTAGTTAATGTTTTTGGGTGTCCGTTGGGGTTAGCCACTAACTGAGGAAACAACCACAAGTGACAGCATAATCAGTGTTGACAGTGCAGTGCAGAAAATAAACGAACGGCACCGTGGGACAGCTTTCCTTCAGCCGGACTTGTCTGGGAAGTTATCTCCGCAACATCAGCAAAGGGAGCCAGCAGCCAGGGGAAGTGCACAGGCTGTGAGGGGAGGGGGACCAGAGATGGTGTAGCTGGAGAGCTGGGAGCAAGCCTCTCAGGAATGGGAGCTAAGTATTCAGAGAAGGTTAGCAGCCGGGAGTGAGACATAGATACCTCACTGACATGACAGTCCAGTGTGGTCCATAATTGAGTGAAAGAAAAACACTAGTAAAAAATCCTGGGTCTTAATTTTCACATTATGGAGTAGAAAGGTGTTTGGGACAATTTCCTAAGTCCCTGTCGGCATATACAAAATTAAAAACAAAAAAGGACTAGGTAAAGAAAAATTTTACTTCCTGCATATGTATTCTTACATATAAAAATCAAGTGTGGGTAAAATAAATTAAGACCTCAGAAAATATCTGCAAGATGCTGGAAGGGTCTGCCCACGGCCTAGCTTGTCTCTGCGAGACCAGGTTCATGTGGTGTGCCCCTCGCTCTGAGCGCTGACTGAAATTAGACAACAGCTGCTCCGAGCAAATGAGGCTTCTCTCCTTTTTCTTTAGCTTTTGAAGCATATTTGAATGTCTTGTTGTTTTTTATCAAAATGTTTTTTCCTACAGTTACCAATATGTCAGACATTCAGCAGATGAAGGCATAATTCACAAAACTTGTGAAGCGCACGGGGCATGGGTGTGGCAGCCTTTCCTCTTGCCTCGCCTCGCCTCGGCCGAGGTTTTTAGTTTAACCAGAAAGTGCCTTCCTGCCAGTGGCAGGTATCATCAGAAACTTTAAACAAGTTACGTTAGTGATTGGTTACTCATTAGAATCAGTATTTTTATGAGAATAAGATTTTTACCTCCAAGGCTAAATAAAATATTTAAAATGTTTTTATCAAGAAGCTTTTGGAGTATTCAGACATTTTAAATGGTTGTCTTCACTCCACGTAATTTCATGCCTTCTTTGAAGGTACTGAAGTGTTTGTGTTCTGGTGTAATACTAAATACTCTCAGTAGCAGGTCATATTCAAGATATTTATTTCAATCCTCACCCGAGGATATGTTTTTATTGATTTTTTTTTTAAAGAGATAGATGGAGAGAGTGAGCAGGAGAGAAACATCGATGTGAGAGAGCATCGATCTGTTGCCTCTTGCACGCACCCCAACCTGCGATCCAACCAGCAGCCTTAGTATGTGCCCTGACTGGGAATTGAGCCCGCAGCCCTTTGGCGTGTGGGACGTTGCTCCAACCAGCTGAGCTGCCCGGCCTGGGCTGTATTTGAGATATTTTAATTTTCAAATTTGTAAGCAAACCTGTAGCACTCAACCCAAAATATGCTGTCTCATTCCAGTAACACATGAGTTCTCAAGCACAGTGTAATCACTAAACCACACAGCCTGTAAGAAGTGTCTTAGTGACCAACACTCAGTCCCAGGGGTAGGAAGCAACTAACAGGCCAGGGTCCCAAACCCTCCGGACAGGTAACAGAAATTGCCTGCATGGAGTGTGGCTGTTTTTAATTGAAAATTTTTTAATAATCTGGAACTAGAGTAGGAGGGTTTTAGATAATTTAAAGATTTAATGCCTTTTACACTTAGTAAACTGTAACCTAGACAGTTCTTTCTGTATTTGATTTGGCCTAAGCCTAATTATCTCATTTGTCTTCCTCTCCCCCTTTTGAAAAACTTTTATTCAAGCTGGTAGTTGTAAAATTTTTCTAGTCATAATTACCTTTCTGTTTTTAAGTATCCAATACATTCTAATTTCTCATTTATTTCTTTGTAGTTAATCACCAAAGCAGAAAAGATTAGACTCGAAAAGACTCAACAAGCAAGTAAGCATATTAGATTTTCCGAATATCAAGAAAATTGAAAAAAATTTTGGTTCACCTCTTAAGATTTCACTGGATGCTTGAGTTGTTTCTGAGGAATCCCTTTGTATTGTGCTAGTGATGCATAAAGAATGTTTTTAAAACCTACATCTACTTGAAAGAACTTGTAAATAAGATTTTTTTCCTAAAGACAAGTACATTGTAACCACAATTTTCCATTAAACATTTTATTTGTTGAAATTATCTTAGATCAACCTCAAAGTGATTCAGTGTTTTGAGCATTATCGTTAATTTTGTTCTTTTAATGCTAAAACAACATGTGCAGAAAAATCAGTGCTACGTGAGTATATAGTTCAGAAAAGTGTGTAGACCCTCGCCTACAATTTTGTAGCTGGTTTTCCATTTCAGATTCCCCGAGTGTCCTTCTAGGTGGATGTCCGGTCGATGTGGTCTTTTGTTCTGTGTGTTGTCCTCTGCCTGTTTCAGTTTCCATGGAAGAGACCACATGAACTGTTTCCAATTAAAATGTTAAATTTTGAAAGTATTGAGTTTGTATTCCATAAATGAAGACAAAAATAAACTATACCAAATGCTATGAACACATGGGGGGAAATCTAGGAGTCAGCATTAGGCATAACTGAGGCCTCTCACTTTATTCAGGGAACCCCAGGCTGGAGCACGTGGTGCCTTCCCAGACCTGCCCCTCCGGGGCCTGTGCAGACTGCATCTCCCTCCCACCAGAATGTTAGGGAAGTCCCCTGGGCAGCCTGGGGGCTCACTCCTCAGGCCACTAACTGGGTTCCTTCAGCTCCTCCCAGAAATGGGCCCTCCTCTGGCTACCCCTTCTGCGCATTCATCAAGGGAGCCTAAAGTCAGAGCTCTGAGGAGATGGACTACCTCTTTTGTTGGGGGTGACATTAGCTTTACTACCAAAAATAGGTATCCTGGCAACTCACTCACTCTTGTCTCTCCATGAAGGAAAGCTAGCAGACACACTCTGATGGGGGAGAAGAAAGACTTATAAATAGTAACTAAACGCAGCATGAGGATTATGACTGAGTGTGCTCCACTTGGCCTGGAATAATCCAACGGAAATGTATGTTTCAAGAATCGCGTTGATCTCGGTGAGGACAGTCTAAAGGTGACTTTGGAGAGGTTATCAAGTAACATTTCAGAACTTCTACCCCTGGCAGTTTTTAAGACGAGATAAGCACTCCTTGGACAAATCTCTATGTTTGGACACGGGAGATGATAGTGAAGCAGAAAGACTCAGTTCCCTCTCTCCTGGAGCTTACGTCCCAGGGGCAGAGAGACGGGAAACAGAAATAAGTGAAAATTACTGTTAGGTAAGTCCTCTTCTAGGGACACACAAAGCAGGTGGAGGGTGAGAAACCCCATTCACTTACCCTTTCCTTTATTCTCTAATTCATTTCATCAGTGGAGTGTTTATTCCACCCCTGCTACCATCAGACACTGACACGGTAGACGGTAGACATTAGGGATTCACAGCCCCGGGGAAGACAGAGTCGGCGAGTAGGAGGTGAGGCGGCAAGTCTGTGGGGGAAAGCAGCCACCCCTCTGCTCTTTTCCCCGTGACCTGTGGGCAAGTGTGCACCTTCTCTGTCCAGCATTTACGCAGAAATTGTTTTTTTTACTTGAGTTAAGTAGAATGTGTGCTTCAAAGCGTCACGGCACATGTGGCGCCTCAGCCGCACCGAGGGTGGCTGCTTGTTCAGGTGTGGAACCTCATTCACATCCCTTTTTTAAAGTGCTTACCAGGTCCTGTCTTTGTGCATCTCAGGGGGATTTGCTTCCTTAACTGCAAACTAGTTTTATTTAAGCACCTTGCCGTGGCTTAGTATCATTCACAAAAGAAAACCTTATTGGCCATTGCTGTCCCTGTGTCTTCATCGGAGTGGGTGTCGTGGTGGTCACTGCGCCAGTGAGGAAGCGGCACTTGCCAAAGGTCAGAACAGCACAAGTATGGGCCTCACCCCTTTCTCCTGCTCTGGACACCTCCCTCTGTCCCTCCTTCTCCCATTCCTCTCTTCCCTCATTTCCTTCTGCCACCTGGGCCACCCAGCCTGCCTCTCCTGGCTGCTGGCTGTCCCAGTGCAGTCCTGGAGGAGGAGCTGTGGAGCAGAGGTGCGTGTTCAGTGTGTCTGAGAGTGCAGGAGGGCTGTGTGCTCTTCACCATCAGCAGCAGTGTTTCCGGGTCCATTCTGGCTTTTTGTGTGCTAAACTCATTAGTTCCATGTCTGGTCAGTCTTGCATTTTTGCTGTTCTGAGAGGCGAAAGTGCATGTCCTCACCTTCATGTGGTCTCCCTGATCATTCTTGAGACTTTCCACAACATGCTCACTGACTGTTGTCCTCATAAATTATTATTATTCTCCTGTGTGTTTTATAGGGTGGATTTTTTTTAATGCCTGACATGCAGGAGAACTTGATACAATTATTACCATCTCTATAAATATTTTCTACCACTCAACCACTTGCCTTTCAACTTGGTTTTTATAGTATAGTTATTACTGAATAGATATTTAATATTTTTACAGAGCATATGTCTTAATCAGCTTTTAACAGAAACCTATTTCCCAGGCTGGGTGTCTGCATCCGTTGTGTCTGTCCCTCATTTCTCACTCTCAGGTCCAGAGTTCATGGTGCGAGCAGGGCTCTTTCTTGGGTTAGCATGAGTGAGCTTGTTCTTTGCAGCTAAGTACAACTTCAGTTAAAGCAATACCTTTCTTTAAAAAATAAATCTCACATTTGGTTTGTTAAATGTCTTGGGAAGTTTATAATGTAGAAGAGCAATGAGAATGGAGAGTTAGGCGTCCCTGGGAAGTGGGCCCTGCCACTTGTACTTCCCACAGTCGACTTTCTGATGCTGCTGTACTGACAGGCGGTGTACTACGGGCGGCTCGGCCCAGGAGGCTGAAGCGCGTAGGACAGGACACTGACATTCTTATACGTGGGCAAGGGTAGTCCAAGCCTGAGCACGATTCATCATATAGACCAGATCCTCAGCTGAGCAGGGACTTCAGGGGCAGGGATTAACGGGAGTCTAAATGGGGTCTGTCCGCCTGAGGTTTTGCACCTCTTACGGGACAGTGACAGCTTTTCCTGAGTAATGAATACTTCGAGCGATGCTTAGAGCTATAGCCATGACTGCACCCTAAGTAGCTACTGAAAGCCCTTTGATGTGCTTTATCTTGACTAACAGGGCTTGGTCTTAAGAAAAGTGAGGAGTTTGATATCTGATGTCAAGCATAGGGTAAAGGGGTAACATAATATACTGCTTTGTGAATCAGTTCAACTGTGTTCAAAGAAAATTTGACAAATCAGAATAAAAGAATATAGACTATAAACACAGGATACAGAAAACAAACTACAAATCATGGAGACGTAAAAATATTCTCACTCTGCACCCATAACAGGAACAACAGTCAGAACTGCACCAAAACACCATCTTTCACTTACGAAAGTCGCAGAGGTCTCAGTGTCACAGCATCTGCACAGTGTCATTGAGAGAGTGTCAGGAAGCAGGCTCTTTCTTTTGCGGATGCTTATTACTTGATAAAAATCTGTTTAAAAACATAATTCTTAATACATTGTAGCCATTTCAAAATGAATAAATCATGGAATCTGGAAGTATGATTTCAGCACATTTTTTATATTAAGAAAGAAATTGATGTGTATAAAGAAACAAAGCCAGGCCCGGCCAGAGTGGCTCAGTTGGTTGAGCACTGTCCCATGGACCAAAAGGTTGCTGGTTCAATTCCCAGTTAGGGCTCACATACCCAGGTTGCAGGTTCGATCCCCTGTCAGGGCCATAGGGAGGCTATTAATAAATCGGTGTTTCTCCCTTTCCCTTCTTTCTCTAAAATAAAAAAAAATTAACAAAACATTAAAGAGAATAAAAATAAAAGAGAGCTAGAGAAAGCCAGTTCCTTTCATGTCCATAGGGGTAGGCCAAGCATGTAATAGTATGTAAATTTATAAAACAATATTCAGGCCTGGCCAGGCGTGGCTCAGTGATTGAGCGTCGACCTAGGATCCAGGCGATCAGGGTTTGATTCCTGGTCAGGGCACATGCCTGGGTTGTGGGCTCGATCCTCAGTCAGGGGCGTGCAGGAGGCAGCTCATCAATGACTCTCATTATTGATGTTCCTCTCTCTTTCCCTCTCCTTTCCTCTCTCTGAAATCAATAAAGATATATTTAAAATAAATTAGTTAAATTAATTAAAAAAGACAATGTAACACAAGTTTAAAAAAAAAAACCAATATTCAGGGTTTTGTATAAATTTCATTCTTGAAATTATTTATAGGGTTAATGTAGAAGCAAATATGCATATCTGTTTAGAATGATGAAGTCCCAAAACTTATGTAAATTTTTTCTTTAGCAACGTAATTAATTTATAATTACTTGGAGCTGCATGGTTCAATACACATGTTGCTGTTAAATACTTGAAATGTGGCTAGTCTGAATTGAGTAAGATGGTGTATATAATATATATGTGTGTGTATATGCAGTTTTTTGAAGACTTGGTATAATACTTGTAAGATGTCATTAAACTTGCATATTGAATACACATTGAAAATTTTTATTTATTTGGGTTATATAAAATATATTATAAAAGTTAATTTCACTTTTTTCTTTTTAGTTGGTGTGGCTCCTAGAAAGTTATTTTATGTGGCTCACATTGTATTTCAGTCAGCTGACACAGGGGAACCAAGTGCAACCAAATCAATGGCAGTCTTTGCAGTAATAGCTTATACTGACTCAGTTACCGGAAGAACCATCTGTGAATGTCAGACACCTCTCTCTGCAAAAGGCTTAGCTGGTGCCAGGAAAGGGGAAAGCTGGCTTATGTCCTGAGTCCGTCTGATAAGGCTTTTGGTTTGTTCTCTTTTGACTGGAATACATCTGGATTTGTGTCTCCAGAAGTCCTACCTGCTGCGACTAAAGGGAAATTGTCAGGCTTGATGGAGTTTATTTTACTTTCCTGTATTTGAAGAACATTTTATGGAATTACATGCAAAATAACCATCCAAACGCACACCTGCCTGCTCCTTATTTTAATATAAAGTGATATGTACAAAAATTGGGTGGATATAAAAAGTTAATCCTGCTGTCATGTGGGTCAGGTAGTGAAAGGCAACTAAAGGTCAGATTCTGAGCTGAGTGGATGTGGTCGAATGACACCTCACTGCACTCCGCCTAAAGCACTGCAGGGTCCATCTCTGGTGCAACACGAATCTCACCCCCACACTAAGGTGTACAAGAAATACACTTTATTTCCCTACAATTCAAGTTCATTTCTATTTTAAGCCTCACATCCCACAAAGGTTTTTAATCAGGTAATTTAGGGTTCCCTTCCTTTCTCTCAGCTCAGTGGGAGTTCTGGAGGCTTATGCAGTACCCAGCCTGGGGGACCCACTTGGCTCCAGTCACATGTCTGGGGAGGCCTCAGATCCAGCAGGCCCCACCCTGCCCTGGGCCACTACAGGGTCACTGCAGAGCCCCTGGCAGCTGTTCGGT